GTAGAAGGCAAAGAAGAAAGTTTATAACTTTGAGTGTCTGTATCAAAAAAACAGAGATCACAAATAAATAATCTAGTGATATGCCTTTTAGAAATTAATATACTTTTAGAAAAACAAGAACAAAGTAAACTGAAAACAGACGGGAAGAAATAATAAAAATTTATTGTTAAATTATTGTCTAGGAGGGGTTCTGCTGGACCTGGTCCCCTGGGTATTTATTGCTATACAGAGTGTATGTTTGTGATATGTAAGGTTTTCTTTATTTCATATATAATTAATAAATGCCTTTTAAAGAGAAAAAAAGAAAAACCACACCAAAAAAAGTATACAAGGAATCAACGAAACAAAAAGTTGGTTCTTCAAAAAGATATGTAAGATTGATAAACCCTTAGCCAATCTGACTAGAAGGAAGAAAAAGATCCAAATTAATAAAATTAGAGATGAAAAAGGAGATGTCACAACAAATATCAATGAAATCCAGAGGAGCAGTTGAGAATACTTCAAAAACCCATATTCAAATAAATTGAAAAATCTACAAGAAATGGATACATTTCTAGATGCATGTGAACAACCTAAACTGAACAAAGAAGAGATAAAACACCTAAATATATCCATAAAGAGTAATGAGGTTGAAACACAAATAGAATCGCCCAACAAAGAAAAGCCCAGGAACTGATGGATTTACTGCCAAATTCTACCAGACCTTTTAGAAAGAATTAATACACCAATACTCCTCAAACTTTTCCATGAAAAAAAAAGGGAAGGAACATATAATACTTATTCTATGAAATCAGTATTACACTCATTCCAAAATAGGACAAGGATACAACAAAAAAAAGAATTATAGGCCAATCTCTTTAACAAACACAGACACAAAAATAACAAAATACTTGCAAACTGATTCAACAACACAAAGATCACTCTCCATTATCAAGTTGGTTTCATTCCAGGGATGCAAGGATGGTTCAACATGCACAAATCAATAAATGTAATAAACAGAGTCAAAGACAAAAATCATATAGTAATCTTAATAGACGCAGAAAAAAATCTTTGACAGAATTCAACATCCTTTCATGATAAAAGCTCTGAAGAAACTAGTAACATACCTCAACATTATATACAACAAATCTACAACCATCATCATACTAAATGGAGAAAAACTGAAAACACTTCCTCTGAAGTCAGGAACATGACAAGGGTGTCTACTCTCCCCATTCTTATTCAATATAGTTTTGGAATTCCTAGCCAGAGCAATCAGACAATTGGAAGAAATAGAATGGATTCAAACAGGGAAGGAAAAAGCCAAATCATCCCTACTTGCAGATTATACGTTCTTGTACCTGAAAGACCCTAAAAACTCCGCCAAAAAACTCTTAGACATTATAAACACTTTCAGCAAAGTAGCTGAAATCAATATACAAAAATCAGTAGCTTTTCTATATACCAACAATGAACAGACTGAGAAAGAAATCCGGAAAACAATTCCATTCACAATAGCCTCAAAAAATATTTAAAAATAATAAATTTAACAAAGAAAATGACAGACCTCTATGATGAAAACTATAAATCACCAAAGAAAGAAACTGAAGAAGACATCAGAAGCTGGAAAGATCTCCCATGCTCATGGATCAGCAGAATCAATATTGTGAAAATGGCTATACTACCAAAAGCAATTTATATATTTAACACAATCCCCATCAAAATTCCAATGATATTCTTCATAGAGATAGAAAGATCAATCCTAACATTCATATGGACACATAAAAGACCTTGAATAGCTAAAGCATTCCTGAGCCAAAAGAGAAACACTGGAGGTATCATGATCTGACTTCAAACTATACTACAAAGCCATAGTAATAAAGCAGCACAACCGTGGTACAAAATCAGACATGAAGACCAATGGAACAGAATAGAATACCCAGATACAAACCCAAGCAGCTACAGCCATTTGATTTTTGACAAAGCCATCCAAAGTATGCTTTGGAGAAAAGATAGCCTCTTCAACAGATGGTGCTGGGAGAACTGGAGATCCACTTGAAAAAGACTAAAACTAGATCCCAGTCTCTCACCATGCACTTGTACCAATTTAAAGTGGATCAAAGATCTTAATGTAATATGAATCTACTATAAGAAAGAATAGGGAATACACTGGAACACAAAAGCATAAGTATTAATCTCATGAATAGAGCCCTAATAACTCAGCATTTAAGAGAAAGGATTGACAAGTGAGACTGCATCAAACTAAAAAGTTTCTGCCCAGTAAAGGAAACAGTTACTACACTGAAGAGACAGCCTACAGAATGGAAGAAAATATTTGCCAGCTCTACATCTGACAAGGGATTAAGAACAGGGAGCTCAAAAAACTAACCCCACATTGATAAATGGGCAAATGAACTGAACAGTTTTCAAAAGAAGAAATAAAAATGGCCAGTAAATACATGAAGAAATGCTCAACATCATTGGCTATAAAGGAAATGCAAAGCAACAACACTGAGATTTCACCTTACTCCTATCAAATGGCTATCATCAATAACACAAATATCAACCAATGTAGAGAAGATACGGGAAAAAGAAACCCTTACCAACTGTTGGAGGAAATGTAAATAAGTGCAACCCTATGGAAAGCAGTATGGAGGTGTGATCCTCCATATGATCCAGCCATACTACTACTGGGCATATACCCAAAGGAATGTGTCAGGATAGAGCCACTTGCATGCCAATGTTTACTGCAGCACTATTCACAATAGTCAAACTTTGGAAACAGCCCAAATGCCCTACAACTGATGAATGGGTTAAGAAAATGTGGCATATATATATATATATATATATATATATATATATATATATACACACACAATGGAGTACTATTTAGTCATAAAAATGAATAAAATTATGTTGTTTGCAGATAAATGGATGGAACTGGAAACCATCATGTTAAGTGAAGTAAGCCAGGCTCAGAAGGACATGTTTTCCCTCATCTGTGGAAGCTAGGCATGAAGGCTAAATGCATACATAAATACATATATAACCTCATATACATACACATATAGAGAAAGAAACTATTACATGATTGTAACAGTGGGTCTGTCTGAGGGGCCTACAGGGAGGAAGAGGAAAAGATAATGACAGTATAAATAAAATTGAAATCCAATGCATCTGTTGTGAAGATAGTATAATGAAATGCACTGAAAGCTGTTGAATAATAGGGGAGAAGGGTGACAGAGAAAGAATAATAGAGGGGGGTTAATCTGATTAAAGTGCAATAAATACATGTGTGAAATACCAAGGTGAAACACCCTTGAACAATCAATAAATACTTTAAAAAATAAAGGACAGGAAAGTAAAACAGGTTCTGTCTAGGGTGAATACCAGTGGGAGTGGGGGAAGGGAAAGAGGGTGAAGGAAGACAAATATGGTGACTATACTTTGTATATGTGTATGCATATAGAACAAGGAAACCTGTTAAAATTGTTCTAAGAAGGAGGAGAAGGAGGACAGGGGAGAATGATGGAGGGAGTGAATCTAATTAAGATATATTGCAAGCACAGATGTAAAGGTACAACTAATATATGCCAATAAACAAAAATGTAGTAAAAAGAAGTTGGCTTCTTTCCAATTCTGTATCTTGCTTTGGTTTTACTAGCTAGATTTCGCATTTTTTTCATATATATGTTGAATTTTAAATTATGCATTTTTGCTTATTGTTGTGAGAATCTTTTACCATTTTTCTACTGTATAAACTTCATTAAAAGAACAAAAATTCAAGATTGATCCAAGAATCAAAAAGACGATTAATTAAATACATTTGGCTCGTCTGATCCCCATTAAGAGGAAAATCAGGAACCGAACATTGGTAAGCATGCCTATGACATGCTGGACTGTGTTAAACACTTTTCTAGATGTTTCCTTTATTAGACTTAAGGTAAGTATTATTTTTATGTCTATTAATGCCTGATCTGAAAATGTTCAATTTTAAAAGGCAAGCTTTGCAAGATAAAGTTTTCTAATTCATTTCATATTAGATTGAAAGGAAGTACCAAGACAACAGTGAACAGTGAGTTTATCCCAAAGGATTTATGTGTGTGTGTGTGCTACTAGCACGTGAACTCAGGGTCTTGGGCTTGCCACCAGTTGAACCATGTCCTCATCTCCTCCATACTCCCGTTTTATCTGCTTTAGTTATTTTTCAGATAAGGTCCCAAACCCTGGTCCAGCCTTATATGGTGATCCTCCTACTTACACCTTTGAGTGTCTGGGATCACAAGCTGATACTGCCATGTCCTGTTTGTTTGTTGAGACAGGTTCTCCCTAACTTTTTGCCCACACTGGCTTCAAATTGCAATCCTCCTGATTTTCAGCTTCCGAATAGCTGGGATCACAGGTGTACACCACCACACCAAGCCTATCCCAGATCTCTGAGGCCAGCATTCAATAAGTTCACTAGAATAGCAAAGGGCATCTTTTAAGATCACTAGGTTTTCTCAAAGAAACTGAAGAACCACACAGGGTCTCTAGACTTTGTCTCGTGACAAAGTATACAAAAAGTTGACATTTAGGCTAAAGTAGATGGACAGAAAAAATAAAGCTTAAAATTTAACTTAAATATAATCTGACATATAAGTATAGAGTTTTACCAACAAAGTCATGATCCTACAGAAGAATGGGAGCCCATGAAAAACCACAAAGGAGGAAATTCGGTTTGTCTTGAGACTCAACTCAGTTCAGAGAAAACAGTTCTGTGCTTGAAAATCCTGAAATGGTGGGAAGTCTGGTTTTGAATTTTTGTGGGGTTACCATATTTGTGTTCACCCTTTTATGAAAACTCCTACATCATGCATGCTCCATGGAGTTTCCTATCAGACTTTCTTATCAGGTTTTATCTATTAGTAAATAGTTCTAAGCTATTTAAAAAGCTTTCCATCTCTCCTATGTAGTATTAGAAGAGCACCACCTTGTGTCAGAAAACTGACCAAATGAGCAGATACCTATATTTTAGATACCTTAGTTGTCCAAAGTTTTACTGTCCAGTCAAATGATGAAGTGACAAAAAGATGTGAGAAGTCTACTGCTCCAACAGCTGCATGACAATGGATGCCAGTGATTGGTCCTTGATGTCCCTCAAACATCTCACTGATTCCAGCTTTGCTATTTCATAAAAGTGAAAAATCTCTTATAAGTAGACCACATATAAACAGATCTTATTGTGAAATATATACATACACATATATCTGTATGTATACATTGGACCTTGATTTCAACAAACTTAACTCTGTGCTCATAGTGCAACAGAATAACTGATGTTGAATGTTATTTTATCCAAACTTGGTAACACTACTAAAGCAGTAAGCATATTTTGGAGCCATAAATATCATGCTATTGACAAAAGAATTCAAAAGTTTAGTATCTGAGGTGATAGAATAGGGACACAGGTATATTACATGTAAGAGACAATCTGGGCTCCTTTCAAATCAAGAGCTCTGAAGTGAAGGAGATCTGTATTTGAGATGAAATCTAGACACTCAATTCTTTTTAAGGACACAACTGATAAGTTATAGCTAGACAATTTCAAAACAGATTGAATAGCAGGAGAAATACTAGTCAATTTAAAATGTGTACGTGACATCACTGTACAATTATCAGGAGAAGTGAACTAAAGCTCCAAGTACAAACAAATTGAAATAGAAAAACAGTTGAAAATCTTATTTACAGATGTGAAGGTCAGCATGTGGCACGTGCATATTGTATCTGTAACTACTGAATGTTTCTCCTAACCACTGACTTCTGTGAGCACATGTACACAAAAAGCCACAATACTCCAAATTCCACAAAATTCAGAACACATCAATACATCCAAAATAACTTTTGTTTAAAAAAATGAACTGTTAAGTTTATGTGCCTGAACTTAATCTGTCACAAATAAGTTGCAGTCTAGGACAGATTTCTACTTAAATAAGGGGCAATTTGTTTCAGTGAGATTATTCAGGGAGAATTTTAAATAATTGCTAATTCCAGTTTAGGTTTACCTGCCATGGCGGCATGCTGTGTACACAGAACCTTCTTCACTTCCAACAACAAAGTTGTTGACATCTCCAACAGGGAAGGACATAGATGTCACAGCTACTGCCTTTGACTGTTTATGAACCAACTCCATGCTATCCTACATAGAAAAAAAAAATGAGGAAATTATTTTGTAAATTTTCAATTTTCATAGAAAAACTTCTAATTTTAACTGGTTCATAAACTATGATTTTAATATACTATTTACATAAACCTATTTTGGTTAAATGAAGCATGTTTGAAAACAAAATATACATAAAACAAAATACACTTGATACATATTTAGGTGTATAATATGCTAAAATATTATAAAATAGTTTATACAAAACATATACTAGGGTATATACACAATCTAAAAATAACATTTATGTCAAAATTTCAGTTTCCCAAGTTTAACCTACCTGTGGATGGGAAAGCATGTCCAAACTCCAGGAACAAATTTTTCCATCAGTAGAAATGCTAATCAGATTGTGAGCATTTTGTGTTCCAACAACATTTACACAATAGACAGGGTGCTAGAAACATTAAAGAAAGTTTTCAGAGATTATATTATTTTACAAAAAAATGAAGTGAAAGTTTTAGTCTAATCTCAGGTATTCTATTTCATATTGAGTCTTATAGCTTGTGAGTATTTTTATTACGAAGTTTGTTGCTGGTCTATTGTTTAACAAAAGATTATGAGTTCCTGGTAAGTAGGATCCCCAAAATACATAAAAATGTCTTCTTTTTGGTTGCTAAATGATGAGGAATTCATACATCAAAGGAAGCACACTGAAAGCACTCTAAAAGATACTATGAAGTAGTCAACAGTGAAGGAGCACAGAGGTCTAATGGAAATAACCTTATTTACTTACTGTGTGTGCAGCAGCTGACAGTGGAGTTCTTTGCACTGGAGTTCTTTTATTGCTACGGTTATCCCAAAGCACAATTTGGCCTGAATATGTACCACCAACAACGAGATTTGGATGAAATTTTGCAAATGTAGCAGACATCACAGCTGACTGCAAATAAGTAGAATTTTTATATTTAAGTAGAAAAAGTCTGCCCATTATAAAAATAAATCTATTATCCAAAACATTTCCCTCTTTGTTGGGAGGTTTCAGAGGTTATTAAAACAAATAAATTCATTAGAATTTTTATTTTGTTTTAGAAATATAAAAATGAATCTTTAGAATATTTTAAGTTTAAAAGTCAAATGTAATGATTGTTTACATAAATGTTTAAGCAATTTATCAAAGAAAAATTATTTCATCCAATTACAATTCAAAAAGATAAAGTTCCGTGATTTGACCTCTGACTGTAACCTGATAGCAAAGATTGTACTAATCTTGATTCAGTTAAGTGGTTATTCAGATTATGACATTATTAAAAAGATTTGAACTTATGCAAGAAAAAAGACTTGCAAATTTTAACCTTCTATTAAATCTCCTTTAAAAATCTGCATCTGTTTCCTACTTCAACCATATGTTTCTACTTAAAACTCTCTAGTTCCAATTCCTCAGGCAATGTATATAAGTAATTCAGTGGGCCACCCTTCTGATTGTATATTCCGCAAGTAAGTTCTTGAGAACCTCCCTGTAGAAAACACATTTTATAAAAGATTTCTTTTATATAATCAATCACAATAACAGAAAATAACAATAGCAAAGGATTTTAGGTGTGATTTAACATTATAAGTGATGTCAGGAAAGCTACAAAAGGCAGATCGTATTGAACTGAAAAGTATTCAGTTTTCTGTTAACATCTGTTTGCAAATATAGGAGTTTAGTAAATGCCAATCCAATGAAATTATTTTGTTGACAAGAAACGAAAAAAGCACTTGTCTAAATTCATTAAGGAATCCTTAAACTTGGGGAAAACTGTTAAAAGATCGTCTTACCTGGCAATGGAACACATACTCTGGGGTAGTTTTTTTGTATTTCATATTCCATACAAGTGCCACACCATCAGGCTCATGAGGAGCATCTTCATTGTTATTATACGAAGCCACGAGTAACTCTGGGTACTGCTCACAAGAATCAAGTGAAAAAGAAACAGATAATAACTATTTTATGTTCTTAATTATTTGACTATATCAGATTGTTCTGAAAATACAAACATCAAACACTTCACCATGAGAGCTATCTCTGGAGTTATACTCACTGAAATATTAGTATAATTTTAAATTAGTAGAGTTATTTAAAATGTCTTAATATTAAAACATTTAATTAAAATATATGCTTAAATTTTATACAAAGTATTTGGTGAGTAATCAAAATTAGTAAAATTGGGTTTTGACATAAATAAACTCCTGAATTTCAAATATATATAATGCTTCCAATTCTTTCTTCCAAAGTACCTAAGACAAACAAATATGACAACATAGAGCCATACCCATTATTACTTTAAATGATACATATTGATTTAATTTAAAAAGTTCCCTATAATTAAAATAATATTACATGCTAATAATAATTTAAAAAATGAGTGAATAGGAACTAGTTTTGTTATACTTTACCTGAGATGACCAATCCAAGCAACTAACAACTCGATGTTTTGACCAACGCTCATCAAAAAATTGTCGATTTAGTGATAGTTTAGCACCTGCTTGAATCTCTCTATAGAAAAAGATCAACCCCCACATCAAAAAAAAAAGATTATGTTATAACTTATATCACTCTTAAACTTAAACTACTAATTTAATACTGGTAAAGCTGTAGTCTAAGCAATTCAACATTACCCTTCTTTGTCTTCCAAATCCCTCCCACTGTAGTCAAAGAAGATATTAATCTGCTCAGAAAGAGCTCTTTCTACAATTCTTGTAGAATGGTCAAAGAAGCTTAAAAACTCCTCTGAGTGCAAAATTTGTTGCTTTTCTTCTTCAGTCAGTTCATGAGGTGGGGCTGGAAAACAAATTTTTTTTTAGATATATGATTAGGTCAGTCAAATTATGTAAATTCACTAATACAGTTTGGATCAAGGAATGCCACACATTCTTTTTTTAACCATATTCATAGCTTTGACTTAGAGCATTTTGTTCTATTTTAATAGATAAGTAATAAAAGAAATCTTAAGAGGAATCAACAAAAATTTTTAAAGTTAATTCTTTATGATACCTTTATTATCATTTTCTTCATCTTTCTTTAAAGTTTTCTCTTCTTCAGGTTCAATAGGTGGTTTTGGAGTTACTACATCATCTTCTTCCTCTTCATCTGAAAAAGAAGGAACATTAAAACAAAAATTATTTTTATGAAAATAACTGATGACTTTCCAGAAAGTATCACAACTCCCTAGATAAAAGCAAAAGTAAACCACTTATGAAAAGACCAAACAACCACAAATAATATGAATTTTACCAATAAGACAGAATTAGGAAAGAATTTTGGTTTTTATACACACCTCATTAATAGTCATACTAAATTCAGTAGCTAAGTAAGATATACATAAGCAAGCAGGATAAATTTCTTAAATTTCTCATGTAAGTCTTTGAAAGCTTGCAAGCATTTATCATTCCAGACAGAACAACATGCAACTCCTGCATAGTTTTATATAGCATGCTGACACATTAATGCTGTAGAATGAAGAAAATCAAATGTCTAAAATAGCCCACAGAGCTGGCTGCTTACTTGTGATCTGAAACCATCAGTGTCTAATGGGTCTTCATATGGCATAAAGACGGCTTACATTAACTCTCAGGTTGCTATTTGAGAGGCAGATTTTAAAGATAATAGCTATGAGATCACATTTTCTATTCTGTCATTTTAAATGGCAAGTCTTATTATCTACTGTTGTATGATGTGGCAATAAGCACTTAAAATAATGTTTTAATTTTCATAAAAATATATTGAGATATACAATGTTTATAAGAATTTAAAAATTACCAAATCTCTTACATCTCCAAATTAAAAAGCAATTTAAAAATCATTTTTAAAAAATGTTATAGAACATAAAAACCTGTCCACCTTCTCTTTCATTACAACAAAGATAGGTTTTTTTTTTTTAAAGAAAATGCTTATTTTTATTGCCTAAGCACATCTTATCATCTATAAGGGAATGGCAGCAGGTATCTGCAGCAGAGTACATCTCAAGTAATGAGTACCTATTCAACACAGGAACTTTACTTGTTATTTATAGTCATTTCCTTGACCATGTATAAAATTATCTAAAACACACATACATACAACCTACACAAAAGAACGGTCAAGGATGGGAACCAGCTGCCAAGTCATGGTCCCAGCAGCCAAGCCAGCTGACTAGATAGGAGCAAGCAGATGGTACTGCTGGGATTGTGTCTTTCTGCTACAAGGTGGTGATGGGATGGCATAACATTCTTCCGCTTGACTGCTTCCAATCCTGTGTCTCTCCCCAATGGTGAGCCTGTGCAATTACCCGCACTCCAGGGGGCCTACAGACAAGTCTTTACCCTGCAAACAAAATGCAGCTTGTAGGCCATACCAGCTGCCAAACCACACACATAGTGTTAGGTTTTGAGAGCTATGAAAATCTTTCTAACTCTATAGTATAAGCAATAAAAATATAACTGTACCTGTGGAAAGAAAGCTTTAAATGACACTGAATAATGCACACAATGATACAACCTCCAACTTAATCAAAATGATAATGACGTATGCCAATCCTACATTACTTGAAATTGAGCGATTTTTACGTTCTGACAAGTTTACAGAACTGGGATAAATGGCACGAATGATTTCAATATATGCTCATACTTTTGAACCAAATGGTGAAGGTTAAAATTTTTCCTTTCAAGGGCCTCAATCAGCCACAAAGGAAAACAGTAATCACTGTCTTTTCAGCCAGCCCAACCGCATTTGTCAGCCCTTTCTCTGTCAATGCAGCCAGAGCAATCAACCTGCCAAACATTCAGAATGGAAAAACAATCTGAAAATACAGGGTATAATGCACCTGCCAGTGAAAATGGCCATTTCAAGAAAAGCTAGTGATCTCAGTGACCCTGCTGAGGAGGCGGTGGTGCAAAGGGGAAAGAACACGTAAAAGAATTCTTAGTGATCGCCACTCTCTTGCACATTGACACTTCCTTACAAAGCATGCCAATTACAGCTTTTGTGCTACTTAAAAAAATGAAAGCTTTTTTGGGCAAAATAATCACAGAGAAACAGAAAGACACTACTTCTTTTTAGATGAATTCTCATATACAACAGACTATTAATCTGAAAACAGTATAACTGGTGGCAATTCTACACTGTACTGCCCAAACATTAGGGTAAAACTCTGCCATAAAGTCATCTGCAGGAATAATCTGATAAAATAATTTAATTACATTTAATTTAAAGGCTGGCTTCTACAATAGGGCATTTTACTTTAATTAAAAATTCAGCATGAGAAAAAAACACACAAAATATATTTCATTTTTTTGCTAATACTATCAGCTTTCCTAACCAATTTTGTTAACCAGCAGGGTTTACTGTATACAAATCCTAAAATCAACACTAGAGATTTTGAATCACCCTGGACAGGTCATTCTTGAGCACTGTGAATTACAAATTACAGCCTCCTACCCACATCTTATTCTCTTCCCTCAACTTTGCTGTATTATCCAGCTTCTAAGTACCATTTCCAATGACAGGTGTCAAATTCCCATCATAATGCATATGGTCAGTGTTTGAGTGCTAAGTGACCTCATAATCTACATATTTAACAGAAAAGATCTTGTTTATGGACACTCTTTTCCTTTTAAAATTTAAAATGTAAATGAAGTATGATAGTCAGTGATCAGTGTCTGCCTGCTATACCAGCATTTGCCATACCTATGTGTCCATATAAATCATTTTAGTTGTAGTTGAATGACAAGTATCAATTATTTAACTACATGCTCTCAGAATTTTATTTTAGAATCAATGTATACATGTCCTCTTTCTATATGGGTTAAACATAGATTTTAAAACTAACTGGTACTTAAATTCAAGTTTCATTAAATGCTTAAGCTAATAAATTAGAACTATAAAAACAAATGATATGCTGTTTCTTAAAAATGGCAGAATATACTATTTTGTGTCAAGCTGATCCTGATATTATATTCACATATATCAAATATTTGGCAAAAATCTACAACATTAATAACATCAGAGTAAAGAATGTTCCTCTGGAACAAATACACTTCTCTTATTATAACCTAATATAACAGCTACTATAGGACTACTAATATGGCTAAAAAGTATAGTTTACAGTTCTAAAGATTTTCTAAGCTAGTCCCTACTACATGTAAGCAAGAACATACTTAAAAACTGGAAAAGACTGTAACAGAACAGGAAGACTGAAAAATGGGACTGCCGTGACACATCAATTTACTGATGAATATTCATTATAATATGCTAAGTGGTTAACTCCATGCTGTCTCTGACAGGGAAGCTAAGGTTACAAAACTGAGCAGTAAAGAGTGCAGAAAAGTAGCAGTTACTTTTGAAATGACAAACCTCTTGTCAATGAATGCTAAAACTAGGTTTAATGAACCATTGAATTTTTACTTTGAGTTAACATCAAAATTGTAATGTATTTTGGAGAGATGGAAAGAAAAGCTGTTCTGTAAATTAAGCTGCACCTAGAAATAATACCAATGAGTGAAATTCCAGTTGTCGGAATAATTTGTTACAATGGAGTAGGTTAATCAAAGTTAAATCATCTGTGAAATGGGTGGCTTTTGTTAAACTGAAGGTGTCTTCAGAACAAGTTTTCTCATCTATATGTCATATTATATTTAAGATATATCTAACAATAAACCATAAAGTATACTTTGAGTTTTTAAAAAAATATTACATTTAAAAAGCAATATGCAAGATCTTAGAAAATCCTTACTAAACGAACACTGCTACTTATGAATCTATCACTTCTTATTCTCAATACAAAGCTGGAAAACAAATCCCATTATTAGAGCATTGTTGCTTAGGAAATACATTTGTTGGTTATCAATTCATTATGTAGTTTTATTATACTGGTACATCCATTTAAGACAACTTAATATCCTATGAAGAATTCTGAACTAAAGGGGTCTGATTATTATTCATGGTACAAAGAAAGTTGTTAATGAGTTCTAAAAATCAGTGAATTTGTTGCTTGCAGAAATATGATTCAACTTACAAAAATTAAACTTATGACTAACTTTACAAACACCTGTAAGAACATTACAGGGAATCCCTTAATATTGATTTAAAAATACAGGGTAGTGCTGGTGGAGTAGATCAAGTGATAAGAGTGCTTGTCTAGCAATTGTAAGGTCCTGAGTTTAAATCCCAGTTTCATTAAAAATACAGGCTAGATAAGGATGATTTTCTTTTAATATTTTCAAAATCATCTTTTCTTTCCCAGCAATACTGAGGTTTGAACTCAGAGCCCTACACTTGCTAGGCAGGCATTCTACCACTTGAGCCCTTTTTGCTTTAGTTATTTTTCAGACAGAATCTCACATTTATGCCTTGCCCAGACTGGACCAAGATCCTATTTATGCTTCTTGCAAAGCTCGAATGACAGGCATGCCCCACTACACCTAGCTTTTCTTGGTTGAAATGGAGTCTTATGAACTTTTGCCTGAGCTGGTCTCAAACTAAGATCCTCTCAATCTCTGCCTCCTGAGTAAACTAGGATTACAGAAGTGAGTCACCACACCTGGCCAAAAAAATAATCTTTTTCTGGATCAACATCATTTTGAGTCATGTCATTTCAATACATTTGTCCATAATTTCATCTTCTTATATCTTAAAATCAAATGCATATTTAAGAAAATCCTCATTGGGACACTTTGTCAATCTATGAAATCCATTCTTTTTTTTTTTTTTTCAACATTTAGAGTTAGGTCTTTTGTACTGGCCTAATAATTTGAATTTTCAACAAGAAAAATATTGCTAATTTAGAGGGGGAAAGAAATAATTAATACCATTTACTTTGACATAGATTTTGTCTCTCTACATGTTTTTTTAAAACACTTTATTAGCATATGATAGTTACATAGGGGTTTCATTGTGACATTTCCACATATACATGTATCATACCCCTTTTTGGTTCATCCCCTCCATTAATCTTCTTCCTGCCCCACACCCTTTCTTAAAGTGACTTCAACAGGTTTCAACGTTCCACATTCATATTTGTATAGAAAGTACATCAACCATATTCACCCTCCTTTACTCTCTTCATTTATCTTCCCCCCCGGGTAGCACCCTCCCCTTAATATGACCTGTTCTTC